GCCTCTAAGTAAAGGTGTATGAAAACCAGTTTGAGATTCATAATACTAAAAAGAACCTCCAAAATGTATTCCTTCCTCTAAGGATTTATCTCGGGCCTCTGTTGAAGTGGACATTTACATGTCTTCCTTTTTTTTTTTTTTTTAAGAGAGATTTTTACTATAGGGTGCATGTGCTTGCCAGTGAGACAGGAAGCAAGAAATCATCTCCAGGGGGATGGCCACACCACAATCCCTTTTCCTTCATTCTCCTCTCAGGATTTTGGTCATGCATGCTCACACACCTGGTGTGAGTTTTAAGTCCCCAGGTCCAGTACTCGCACCACGGTCAACTACGTGGAAGTTCAGCGACCATTACACCATCTGCTGGTCCCCACGTCTTAAGTATTTAACAGAACAAAATCCATCTCTCTCACCTCATTTAAAATTTCCATTTAAATTGTTTAAATATATGTTTGCTCACTTATTTTACAAATATATCTAGCTGCAATTTGAATATAACTGCTATTATCCAAGGACAAATATTAAATTCTCAATTTAACCATTTGAACTTCTTGTATTTTTCACTTTATTTATTTTATTTATTTATTTTAATTTGACAAGAGTGAGAGAGAGAGAGAGAAAGGAAAAGTTAGAAAGCAAACTGCCAGGTCCAGAGCTCAAACCACGGTCAGCCATGTGGGAGTTCAGTGCCCTTAACCACTATGCCACCTGTCAGCCCCATGGACTTTTTTTTTTTTTTTTTTAGCTTTTGCTACAGGGCTTGTGTGCTTACCAGAGAGAGACTGAGGGGAAAGGGGGAGTGAGAGAGCACTCTGTAGGGCAGATGGCAGTCCCTTCCCCTCCATTCTTCTCTCTGATTTGGGGCAAGCACACACATGCCTATAGTGATTTTCAAGCCACTGGGTTTGGCTTGCAGTTGGCCGTATGGGATTCCAGCTGCCTTAACCTCCACACCACCTCCTCTACCTGCTGATCCTTAACTTACCTTCTTTTTTTAAAAAAATTATTTTCTTCAGGAACCAGCAGTTAGCATAATGGCTATGTCGCTGGACTCCCACGTAGTGAACTGTGGTTCGAGTCCTGGACCCGGTGGCTTAAACTCACGCCGGGCGCATGTACTTGCATGCCCAAGATCCTGAGAGGAGAACGGAGGAGAAGGGTTTGCGGCGTGGCCATCCCCCCTGGGGGGTAATTTCTCGCTTTCTATCTCTCTGTCTGTCTCTGTCTGTCTGGCGAGCACACACGCCCTATAGCAAAAAAAATCTCTCAAAAAAAATTATTTTATTCAATTTTATAACTTATTCTTTCATTTGACCAAAGAGACAGAAAGTGAGAAAGCAAGCCATCAGATCTGGAATTTGAATCATGGTTGGCCATATGGGAGTTCAGCATCTTAACCACCACTCCACTTGCCAGCCCTTTAATTTATTTTCTTAATGCATTTTTTTCATTATCATTTTCAGTCATCACTGATAGGAGAAAAAGACTTGGTAATTTATTTGTAGATTACATCATAAATATCCAATCAGGTTCCTAGAAAATAAGAATGGGAATATATGGAAATTCTTAATATTTTTTAAATAATTATTTTATTTATCTTTTTTTTTTTTAATTAAAGGTCAAAGAGAAACAATGAGAGTGAGAGAGAGAAAGATAGAGTGAGAAAGCAAACTGCCAGGTCCAGGACTTGAATCATGGTTGGCCTTGTGGGAGTCTAGCACCCTTAACCACTACACCATCTACTGGCCCCAATTCTTTTGTTTTTTTGAGAGATTTTTTTGCTATAGGGTGGTCAACTACATGGGAGTCCAGCGACATAGCCATTACGCCAACTGCTGGTCCCCCAGCCCCAATTCTTAATATTTTTGATAGAATAATGTAACATTTATGTCTACATTTTTTTTGAAAGGCTAAGGTTTTAGTAGAAGGATTGGGCAATAACTGCAATTAAGCCTCAAAAAATGAAAAAATGAAAGGACCAGCAGTTAGCGTAATGGCTATGTCGCTGAACTCCCACGTAGTCGACTGCGGTTCGCATCCCGGACCCGGTGGCTTAAAACTCACTCCGGGCGCGTGTGCGTGCATGCATGCCCAAGATCCCGAGAGGAGAATGGAGGAAAAGGGATTGCGGCGTGGCCATCCCCCCTGGGTGGTGATTTCTTGCTTTCTGTCTCTCTGTCTCTCTCTGTCTGTCTAGCGAGCACACGCGCCCTATAGCTAAACCCTCTCAAAAAAAATGAAAAATGAAAGCTATGTTAGTGATACTAAGAGATGAGAATGAATGTGGATATTGATCTTGAAAAGGGCTACCACATTGGAAAAATTCCCTTGCTAAATTAAGTTAAAATGAAAATAAAATGGGACCAGTAGTTGGCATAATGACTATGTCACTGGATTCCCATGTAGTCAACTGTGGTTCGAGTCTCGACCTGGTGGCTTAAACTTATAATGTGTGTATGTGTGTGCATGTCCAAGATCCCGAGAGGAGAATGGAGGAGAAGGAATTGCATTGTCACCATCCCCCTCCCCTCTCTGTCTTTCTGGTGAGTGCACGTGCCCTGTAGCAAAAACCTCTCCAAAAAAAAAAAAAAAAGAAAGAAAGAAAGAAAACAAAATGGAATTTTAACTGATTTGTACATCATGTGTTATGATGAAAACAAGGTTACTGCTACCTCCTCCCTTATAGTAAAGATTTTTTCCTAGCCTATTTTCTCAAGAAAAGAATCCACAGCCCAGTCTTAGATTTTAAAACATTTTTTTTAAAAAGCTATTTTACTAAAAATGGGAGGCTCTCTACATAGCTGGATGCAGTTTGCTAATATAGGCAGATAACCTATGTGTTCTCTGCTCATTAAGTTCTTGTCACATTTTGCCTATGCAAAATACTGAAACCCCTCTCCTTCAGACATTCTCACAGTCGTCCTTAATATTCCCCTTCTTTCCCCTCCCACAACAGCACTGTTCCTTGTTCTTCCAACCTAATGCTTACTATGTTAATTTTGTATCTATGAATTATAACTTCTCAAAGAGCTTAGTTATCATAATATTGATATGCCAAATAAATATTAGTTGAATTGTAGAGAGCAAGAGAAATATATATCTAACTAGGGAGATCATAACGGGATTCCAGCTTTTTTGTAATTGGAACACATTTCATTTTCAAATGTTAGAATTCCAATTGCATAATTGTTACATTGCTGGACTCTCATGTATTTGATCGTGGTTCAAATCCCAGACCTGGTGGCTTAAATTTACACAAGGCACGTGTACATGTGTGCCCAAAATCCCAAGAGGAAAATGGAGGAGAAGGGATTGCAGCATGGCCATCTCCCCTGGGAGGTGAGTTCTTGCTTTTTGTCGCTGTGTCTCTCTCTGTCTCTTCAGCAAGTGCACTTGCCCTATAGCAAAAATCTCTCTTAAAAAAAGGAGGGGAATAATTCCAGTGGCTTTGAAAGTATTTCAAATATATAAAAGAGCACTAAACATGTAAGCCATATGATCACTACTACTTTATAACTCTGTATTAGAGTGTCTATAACAACATCTGCAACTAACACAGTATTTCCCTGGTCACTCTTCAATGTCAGTGTTGGAGTACCCCGTCTTCTCTCCTATTCTCAAGAGGCAAAGTTCCAGGGACCGGCAAATAGAGTGGTGGTTAAGGGCACTGGACACCCACATGGCCGACTGCAGCTAGATTCCTGGATCTGAGGCTTGCTTTCTCACTTTCTTTCTCTCCCTCTCTCTGTCCCTTTCTGATCAAATTAAAATAAAGAAAGAAATAAAGTTAAGTAAAATAATTCTTTTTAAAAAAGAGGCAAGGTTGCAGTAACATTACCTTATTGGTGCTGGATTCCTATCTTACTTGGACCACATTGTACTTGTTTTACATTACGTCACACAGCTTAGCCAGCTTAGCTGTCATTTAACAGACCTGATAATAAATACAGGTACCTAGTTATAACTAAAATTTGGCATCACACATGGTAAAGAGTTTGCAGTAGACCATTGTGGCATGGCATACCAGTTAAGAACTACTGCCTGTAAATGTTCCTCTGATCTGGATGCCTGATTTTTTAAACCCAAGTCTAGGCATTTCTACTTTCTTATAGTTTATTGTTATTGTTTTAATTTTTTTTTTTGAGAGGTTTTTGCTATAGGGCATGTGTACTCGCCAGAAAGACAAGAGAGAGATGGAGAGATGGGATGTGAGAAATCAACCCCCAGGGGGGATGGCCACGCCGCAATCCCTTCTCCTCGATTCTCCTTTTGGGATCTTGGGCACGCATGCACACGCGCCAGCATGAGTTTAAACCACCGGGTCCAGGATTCGAACTGTGGTCGACTACATGGGAGTCCGGCGACATAGCCATTATGCCAATTGCTGGTCCCGTTATTGTTTTAATTTTTATTTTCCAAACTCTATGTTCTTTTCATAGTTCTAAGTTGCTTCCATCTCCCACTGTAGGTCAAATTTTATCTGAATTCTCCAGTCTCTTGAGAAACTCTGCCAGGCCTTATTCTAAACTACAAAATTCCTTGATTTTAGTGTAAGTTTCATGTCATCTGCTACTAGATTACATTAATGACCATCATTTTACCTCCGTTCTTTTCTATGTCCCATTACCCTTCATCTTTTATTCATCTGGAGCCTAGTTACTCCGCTTTTAAGGCCCAAACTCATATGTCCTAATTTTCCAAGCCCAATTTCCATTTCAGCTTGTTACTCAATAAAATTATTTCATTTTAGATCCTGGTTTGGGCAATTATATGTTCACTGAGCCATAGAACATACAGAAGGTATTTCTTATTACTACAAAGGTATAGCTAAATAAATGCATATATAAATTGGAGAACTTTTTCTTTTGATCATTGCCATTGATCTCCAATTTGCTAGGCCTATCATAACTTAAACAAATACTTTTCTAGTTATTGTCATTTGTATAGAATTGACCATCTTTGGGGAAACCTTGAAGGTAATCTCATCTATCTATTTCCAGGTTCCTCTCTTGGCTGAAGTTTATGGTATAGAGGGAAACATTTTCAGGCTTAAAATCAATGAGGAAACGCCCCTGAAACCCAGATATGAAGTTCCTGATGTCCTCACAAGCAAGCCAAACTCTGTACGGTAAGCCACGAAACGAGGTATCTTAGATACACTCTCAGTAGTTCTTTTATCATACCTTCAGTAATAGATTTATATGCACCTTTTTAAAAGAATTCTTTAATTAAATTTTATTATTATTTTAAAATTTGACAAGAGAGATAAAGGGAAAGTGAGAAATCAAGTCACCAGATCCAGGACTTGAACTGTGGTCAGCACCTTAACCATCATGCCAACTGCTGGCCCTGCATGTATCTTCTATTTTTTCAGTTCAATGCTACAGTCCTTTGCAGAGTTAATATTCAGTTATTTGGGGAACAAGTTTATCTGTCTTCCATTGTGTTATCCATTCTGTTTTTAATTCATCCACTATTTGACTCAGGGGGAGATAGAGCCCTGTTCCCTTTCTCACGAAGAAAGCAGTTTGTTAGCAGAATTGGGGAGCATGTCAAAGAAAAGCTGCTTAATTTATCCACTCATTAACAGCAGGACTCCAGAGATCTAATGCACTCCCATGCTTATAGTAATTTATACAGTTAAACTGGCTCACTTCTAATTAAGGGCATTCTCAGAAGTCTAGCATGTAATTTTGCTTAGAGTCAGAGATAAATTAATAATCAGTGTATAAGTGAAAAAAAAATCTTTGGGGACTAAAGCATTTTTCAAGTACTTGCATAATTTTCAACGGTTCTCACCATACTTTCCAGTGATATTCCAACTTCTTATTGCCTGTTGGTATCTGTTATATTTCATATTATTTAATGAAGAAACATAAGATTATACCAGATGCTTCATTTTTATTAAATAATTACCATGGTTTTTCCATAAAAATCTACTTAATTATAAGGAGAAATTAATTCAGGTATGGTAGAACTATCTTTTTTTTTTTTTTTAAGAGATTTTTGCTATAGGGCGCGTGTGCTCGCCAGACAGACAGAGACAGACAAAGAGACAGAAAGTGAGAAATCACCCCCCGGGGGGATGGCCACGCCACAATCCCTTCTCCTCCATTCTCCTCTCAGGATCTTGGGCATGCACACACACGCGCCTGGCGTGAGTTTTAAGCCACCGGGTCCGGGACGCAAACTGCGGTCGACTGCGTGGGAGTCCAGTGACATAGCCATTACACTAACTGCTGGTCCCAATGGTAGAACTATCTTAAGTTAAAAGTATATCTATCAACTGAGCTGCTACAATATGGCAAGAACATAGAAAACAGAAATTTAAAAGATAATGTTCTCAAGGCTTTTGTAGTTTGGCAGTTGAGTCAAGGCATATAAATGTATAAGTATAAAAACCACTTGGTTGGGACCAGCGGGTGGCATGGTGGTTAAGGCGTTGGGCACTCCCACATGGCCAACCACGGTTGGACCTGGTAGCTTGCTTTCTCACTTTCCCTCTCTTTTCTCTCTGTCTCTCTGGTCAAATTAAAATAAATGAATAAATAAAGTTAATAAATAATTTTTTAAAACCACTTGGTTATGGGGCCAGTAGATGGCATAACAGCCATGTCACTGGACTCCCACATAGTTGACCACGGTTCGAGTCTTGGACCCGGTGGCTTAAAAAACTCTTGCCAGGCATGTGTGCATGTGTGCCCAAAATCCCAAGAGGAGAATGGAGAAGAAGGGATTGCAGCGTGGCTATTCCCCCAGGGAATGATTTCTCACTTTCTGTCTCTCTACTATGCCACCTGCCATCCCCTTTGTTTTTCTTTTCAAGATTTTTTCTAGAAAAAATAGCTGTTGCAATAACTGCAAAAACTAGAAGGCTATAAATTACATTTCTCCATTTCCTGTACTCCCTTGTAGCTAGAGATTCTGATGTAATCCAGTTTCCACCAGTCAGACTTACAGAAATCTTGAGTTGAGGCCCAGATGTGGTAGCACATGTTGAATCAGCTGCTTCTTGGCAGGCTCAGACCACACAGGAGGCTCGGGTTCACTTACCATCTTCCCTAGGAAAAAATTTAAAAATTTAGACACAGTGGTACATGCCTGTGGTTCCAGCTACCAATTAGTCTGAGGCAAGAGGTCCACAATCTCGTGGCCAGTGTGAAAACATAGCGAGTCCATGTCTGAAGAGCCAGGCATGGTGGGGAGTGCCACGGGTTATCCCAGCTATTTTGGGGGCTAAGGCAGGAGGATCGCAATACAGTTAGACCCTGTTTAAAATGCCCCCCCCACACACATACACACATACTACACTCAAATCTTGATTTAGGGATCAAATTCCTTATTTTGCTTATATACATCTGGAAGCTATGGAGTGACTTTAAGGCCATTAGTTAGAGCAGTGGTTTCTTGATCTCCAGATTACAGCTAAGGGGGCATGATCCTAGAGCCCAGCCATTGTCACAGTGACTTTTGATTACTCAACTTCATGATCTAGCTGAGATAGTTCCATTGACCATGCAGTTATGCAGTATTGTTACAAAGGTCATTACTAGGTGACCAACCTAGAACCTACTACCACAGCTTTTGTCATGATATTATAAGTAACTAATTCCCAAATCACGTCATTTGCTTTCTTCTTAAAAATATTGACTTCTTTCTGTTATCTACAGTTGACCCTTGTTTGTATAATAGTTGGCATCAGAAGTAGGGATAAACAACAGACCATTAAGAATGAGAATATGAGAGTGGTAGGATGACCTTTCTGAATTTGGAAGTGGTTAGGACCTAGTTATTAGAGGGTAGGGTTTTGGTGTTATGAGTTGAAATTTGTCCACTCAAAACTCATACGTTGAAGTCCTAACTCCCAGTACCTCAAAAAACGGGACTGTGTCTAGAGGTAGGGTCTTTAAAGAAATTGAAGTAGGGTCATTAGAGAGGTCCTAATTCATTATGACTGGTGTCCTTGTAAGAAAAGGAAGTTCAGAGACACACACAGAGACAGAGGGACCTTGTGAGGACACAGAGAAAAGGAAGACATCGACAAGCCACGGAAATAGGCCTTGTAAGAAACCAAACTTGCTAACACCTTAATCTAGGATTTCTAACTTCCTGAATCGTGAGAAAAAAAGCTTAAACTCCCCCATCTGTGGTATCTTATTATGTCAGCCCTAGCAAACTAACACAGCTAGCCGTAGACCACAGCATTCTCTGGCAGAATTATTTAAATTACTGCTGGTGGCCAACTGAAGTGCCAGTTATAAGCAAAGCGATAGGGCCATCCCATATTATGATTGTCATAGAACTTAAAACTTTGAGGTGAGAGACTAGCAGATAGCATAATGGTTACATTTTTGGACTCCTAGTTGACTGCAGTTTGAGTCCTGGACCTAGCAACTTAAAGCTGACGCTGGGTGTGTATGTTTGTGCCAAAGATCCCAAGAGGAGGCTGGAGAAGGGATTGCAGTTTGGCCATTCCCCCTGGAGGGTGATTGCTCACTTTCTGTCTGTCTGTCTGTCTCTTTTTCTCTGTGTGTCTCTCCAGTGAGCACATTCACCCTATAGCAAAAATATCTCTTAAAAAAAAACAAAACTGCAAGATGGGCTTGCTGCTGTTAGCTTTCTTGAAGAGCTTTAAAAAAAAATGGTCACAAAGATTTAAATTCTTAGCTCAAGGAATCATCAGAAAACGAATAAGTTGCTATGACAATCCTAAAATCTCTCTCATCTCTTGTAGCTGAAGGGTCCTTGTAGCTAAAAATCAGATACAGGTTTGATCATGAATCAGACCACAATTTGAGCATTAGACCACAAGTTGAATTCATAGACTCCTCACATCCGTGAATTTAGGGCCTTAGCTGGGAAAATGTAGGACACCTCAAAGTTGAAGAAAAACATTTGGGAAGATCTGGATAAGTCTGTATATTCAAACCTCAAAACCACTGAGAGTCTTATTCCAACAGATGCAGCTCCTCCTGCTCTGTCTGATAAAGCTTGATCCTGCCTTGCCTGGGCACCCTACGTTGGCCTCACCTAACATATGCTTGCAGGGAGGTCCCAGTGCCCTAGTGCCTCCTTCACTGCCTCCAGGCCCTCTTTAGAGTCAGACCTCAACATGCCCAGAGGACCAGTTGTAATCAAACCAAGTAAGAAAAGGCTTGCATGCCTAAAGAATGAAAAGATCTTCTAATAACAAATACCTGGGAAATATATACATAGAAATGGTTTCTGGAGGATTCCTAGATCAGAAGAAAGGAGCACAATCTTAGGCTAAATTTATTAACAAATGTACACAAACCAGCAAATACAGATTTGATATACTACCTTGGACAGCTTAGAATGGTTCCAGTAGTTTACTTGTTGATTAACTATGGTCTAAACTCAGCAGTAGATTCTGCTGAATGAAGTTAAAATACCAGAAATTCCTTGGCACAGTGTAGAAGAAACTCTCCACTGGCATAGGGAATAAAGGTGCTGTGGCTTCGTCATACACCACCAGGTCATCTAGCCCATAACTCTGTTCCCCAAGTGAATCCAGGACTTACTTCCTTTATTGAAAAGTGCATAGGTGAGGTAATAATTGGAAAGCATTGCAGTGAATTTCTTTCTTTTATAGGCTTGAGTTAATAGTGGCAAATGATGCCATTAAAATGAACTCCCTAATTTCAGGGAAGATGATGAGACTCCAGGTAACAGAGGCAAAGTAGCAGCATTTAGTTGTCAGAGACAAGGTGGGCATAATTCTGTAACATGCAGTAGGAGCCATGTGCCACGCAAAATGGTCTATCCCTCAGGGCAGTGATCAATTTACTGTGGGGTCTATTAGACTGAAATACACGGGCCAAAGTCCTATTCGATGGAAAATCAGAAGAAGTCAATCTAAATTTTATAAACAGTAAGATACATCCTCTCACCCAACTCCAGAGTTTCTAGATCTAAAGCTTCGCACTTGAAAGGGAAGTCTAGACTCCATGGAAAAGGACTAGAAGGATATAATGAAAAGATAAATCATCCCTTCTAACCATCCCTAAAGAGTCTTAGGACCACTGACCAGGGTAACTATGCACCAGAGAAAGGGAAATATTTAGGAATTTTAGATGCTTGTTCTGAGCTTGCATAATTCCTGAATATTCAAAACATCCTAACAGTCTTCCTACCTAGTTGGAGGCTAATGGGAATGGGACAATAGATAAATAAATAAAATTTAAGGGGGACCCGCAGTTGGCATAATGGCTATGTCACTGGACTCCCATGTAATTGACCACAGTTCGAGTTCTGGACCCAGTGGCTTAAACTCATGACAGGTGCATATGCATGCATGCCCAAGATCCCAAGAGGAGAATAGAGGAGAAGGGATTGCGGCATGGCCATCCCCCCGTCCTAAGGGGTGATTTCTTGTTTTCTGTCTCTGTCTTTCTGGAAAGCACACACTCCCTATAGCAGAAACCTCTCAAAAAACCTCTTTTTTTGAACTAGTTTCATCCCACTGTGGACCCAAACTATGTTATTTTCTTAGTTTCTAAGAATATGGTTGAAATGAGAAAGGAAAACAATGTTTAGATTCTATATCCAGAGTTTGAGACTGAGGGATGATGATGATAGCTAGTATTTATTGAGTGTTTATTGTGTGTTAGGCACTACATCAAGTGCCTACACTTGACATTAAGTGAAATCATGCCTTTACATACATGTACATACATTTACATGCCTTTACATGCATGATCTCATTTAAGTCTCTCCAAAATCTATTGATTGTTGCTTTTATAATTTCCCCCTTATAGATTAGGGAACTGAGACCTAGAAAAGTTGAATAACTTTGTTATCTAAAGTTATGTGCCTATCAATAGTTCATGGTGGAGTTACAATCAGTCTAAGCTCTCTAACCCCGAAGCCCATGTTCTTATTGATAGTCCTCTAGTGCCTTATCTGTGCTATGTCCCATGAATATTGATTTATAAATTAATTACTTTGAATTGCAAAGTACATAGAGCCATATGAACCTACAGCAATTTATTTTTCTTTCTGTTTTGTTTTCTAGGCTGATTTCTTGTTCAGGTGATACAGGCAATCTGGTACTGGCAGATGAAAAAGGAGAGCTGAAGTGTCATATCATGGCAAACCCATTCAAAGTAGACTTGGTATCTAAAGAAGAGGTTGTGTTGAGCATAAATGCCCAGGGCCAGTTATACTTTGAACACCTACAGATTCCTCTCAAACAAAGGTATTTTTGCATATTACTTTAACATATAAGTCCTTAAGAAAACCAGATCATGAATATCAGTTGCTAAATAGATAACATGTTATATCATAGAAAATTAGTTTGCATTATTCGTTATAGTATTGTTTTGAAAAATTTAATATTCTCACCTATGTGGATCAATACAGGTTTTGTGACAAAAATGATTCCAACACTTTTGTGAATGATACACTCTTAACACATCCTGTGTGTGACCCATGGCATTTCTACCGTCCGCTCCTGTCTGAAAAAGCACTCTCTGATTGGACAGATCTTCACGTGAACTAGCATGTCTCGATACTTTTACTTCACTCCCTTACAGTAACACGAATTACCCTAGACTTTAATAATTGTCCAGGAATTTCCCAGGACCATGTACTTAACCAAAGCTGTTTGTGGGGTGGAGGAAGGGAGGGCAGGGTCACATGAATCAAGAGATAATGGTGAGGAGATTCTTGTTCTGTTTTTACCAATACTGTTTTTAAACCTTCTAGTCTTTAGTTTTATTTCAATCATAATAGTAATCATTATACATCTTTAAGAAGCATTCAACATCCATTATTCCCACATATTCCCAAACATTTCTAGGTTTCAACTTATTTGTTTTTTAATTTTAAGATTTAAAATTATCTTATTTTCTTATAACAACTAATGTGTTCATTGTAGGCAAATTGGAGAATTTTTGTTTGTTTTTGCCATAGGGTGTGCGTGCTCACCAGAGAGAGACAAAGAGAGTGAAAGTGAGAAATCACCTCCTTAGGGGTTGGCCTTAGACAATCCCTTCTTCTCCATTCTCCTGTCAGGATTCTAGGGATGCGCACACACACACACACACACACACACACACACACACACACACACACACACATAGAGAGAGCATTATTTTCAAGCCACTGAGTCTGGGACTCGAGCCATAGTCAGCCATGTGGGAATCCAGCACCTCAACCACCAAGCCACTTTCTGGCCTGGAGAATATTTTTTAAAAAGAAAAATTTAAATACTTATAATTCCATCACCTACTCTTAGTATCTTTTTCTTTCTTTGTTTTAAAAATTATTTATTTAATTTTATATATTCATTTATTTATTTCAGTTGACTAGAGAGAAAGCAAGAAAGCAAGCCACTAGGTCCGAGGCTCAAACTGTGGTCAGCTTGTGGTTTTGCCCAGCACCTTAACCATCACGCCACCTGCTGGTCTCCTTTTTCTTTTTTTGTAATTGAGATTTATTGGCAGTACAGACATTTCAATCTGTACCCAATGTTTAACATTCTTACCAAAAATTTAAAAATCCAAGTACTGTGATTCTTTTTAAGTTATTCCAGTGACATTCTAGTTTCAAATTTGTAGGCAACTTTTCTCTAAGAATATATCAAGTACCACTGTCTTCAGTGTTGAAAGCTGTTATGTACGTCCCACCAAATCACAATTTAGTATCATACACACTACATACTGAAATTTTCAATCTTTCACAGCACATTAACAAAATTATTAGGAAAACTGGGCTACTATACCCAAAGATGTTGCAGAGTGCACACAATTCTGATAGAGCAACAGTCAAGGAGTGGTTTTCTTTAGGAAACAGTACTACTAAAAAACATAATAGAAGTAACTTAAAATGTTCAAGACACACTAAATGCATGACTGTGATTTCAAACTGCCATTTCATACACTTTGTATTTAGGGTATAAAAACTACCCACCCACCCCCACCTATGGAATGTTAAGCTGATGCACAAGAGAGTCAAAGCCTCCTGTAAGTCACTATCCCACTGTTTTCTGGTTGTACTAAAATATAAACAACCAGGAAATTATTTTACCTCTTAAAAAAAGCATTTACACTTAAAAAATGGGATGAGATGATATTCCCTCTTTCTTAAAAATGTTTCTAAAGCTACTAAAAAACTTGTATTTACAAAATAGTTGGTAAAAATATTCCTCTGGGTTGTACAAGAAGGGAGACAGGGACCACTGGTAAGACACGATACATGACAATACTCAGATTTGACTTCTTTCTCAGAGGGTGGATTCTCCTCATTTTTAGTTTCTCCATTTGCTGAAGATGTATCTTCTTTAGTGTCTCAGTTGGCCACTTCAACCTGTTTCCCTCTCCTCCACTTTTCCCTTTGGTTTGCTCTCTTGTCTGAAGATTTCTCCCTCCTTGCTGCCTTTTTTATTTAGTCAACAACTTCGCACATCTCCTCTTGGGCTCCTTCTTTGCTGCCCTCACCTGAGCTGACTTTCCTCTTGGGCATCTTGGCTGTGGACAAGGAGCGTGCTGGGTGCCTGCGGTTCCACAGCGCACAGAGCCTTCACAGAGCTGAGGGAGATGCTGC